ACAATGACCTGTCATTCCCATTTGAAAGAAGTTTATGTAGCGCGAAGCGAAAAAACGGACACAGGAAGAAATGAGGAAAGAGCGCTACTAGCAACAACATGTTTATCTTCGACCTCCAAGCCGCTTTTAAGCCATAATCATCAGGCGAGCAAGCAGATAAGCACAACGCGAAATGGCGTCTACTCCTTCAGAGATAATTCTTTCTTCCTCACCTTCAGTCCCATGACGTGTCACCTGACGAACGACAGTAGGAGTTCAGGATTTGTCCTCTCTCTTTGAAGCCCGAACTTCGGCCCTAACTCTAGGACTTGACTGACATCACCAGGAAACTGGAGGTCTTCAGGAACATGAACCTTTCCCTTGGTCATCCGTCCAACACTGGTGACCCACCCACAAAGATAGTGCAGCTGAGGCATCCAAAGAGCTTCGGTAGCTTGCCAAAGAGAGAGGACAAATCCTGAACTCCTGACTGTCGTTCGTCAGGTGGCACGTTGTGCGACTGAAGGTGAGGAAGAAAGAATTGCTTCTGAAGGAGTAGACGCCATTTCGCGTTGTAAATCTGTGTGTTCTCACATTCCTGTTAATTGACTGATATGTGGGGTTTAACGTCCCAAAACCACTATATGATTATGAGAGACGCCGTAGTGGAGGGCTCCGGAAATTTCAACCACCTGGGGTTCTTTAACGTGCACCCAAATCTGAGCACACGGGCCTACAACATTTCCGCCTCCATCGGAAATGCAGCCGCCACAACCGGGATTCGATCCCGCGACCTGCGGGTCAGCATACGAGTACCATAGCCACTAGACCACCGTGGCGGGGCCACATTCCTGTTAAGCGTGTTTTGCCGTACCTGGACAATAATTCGCTGTGTGTTTTGCAGGGAGATAAGGAACGTGGCTTCGCAGTTTTTTCCCGTTCATGCTTCTTGGAAAAAGCAAATGATGCTATTTCTAGGGTGTTCAATGTAAAAGATGGCGTAACGTTGAACAAAGTAAAAGCAAAGGCTATCCAATTGTGCAAAAACATCAACGTAGTTGGAACTCTAAAAAGTATTAAAAAAAGTAAGAAGAATAGCCTCGATGTATTTTTTTAATGCAAAAACTCACAAAGTTAACACTCCTTTTCGAGTAATGGCCTCGGAAATAGGTACTTGGCAGAAAGAACTCGCTGCTTTTTTGTTAGACAAACTTAATCTTCTCGAAGTCCGAGATCCGTTTTTAGTCAAGAGTTCCGATAGTATTTTAAGGTTCATGGAAGCTCATGAAAATGAAGGGCTAAAAGCCTTCTCAATTGACGTGACAGACCTGTACTATTCCCTCCCCCATCCACAAATGCTATAATGTGTTGGAAGTAGCATTGATGAATTTGGTGCTGTTAAGTTTTCTTCTGAGTCAGGTATACCCGCTGATAATTTTCTTACCCTGTTGGAATTTTATCTTACTTTGACGTTCATTAAATGGAACAATGATATTCTTTTGCAAAAGCAGGGTATATGTATCGGCTCTTGCATTGCGCCTGTCTTGAGCAATCTGTTTCTGACAGAACTTGATGGAATTGTGGCATATCGTCTCGCAGAGACGACGGCTAAGAAAGTGTTCTGATATGTAGATGATTTTATTATTTTCATTGACAGCTCAGGGGAAAGTTTCCAAAGTGAGAGTACTAGTGTGTTGAATGTGCTTCGTGATGGTCCTAAGCTCCTTGAGGTGTCAGTAGAATGGCCTAGCGACGGACGAATAAGGTTTTTAGATTTAAGTGTTCAGTGTTCTGACAATCAGCTATGCTGGTGCTATGATCCGCGTGCGCAGAAAGCTTTACTCCCATTTCATTCCGGTCATTCCAAACTAACCGAGAGAGCCATCGCGACGACTTGCCTCAAAAACGCATTGAACAAGTCATTTGCGCACCTTATGAAGCAGAGCTTCCATAATCAGATCACACGTTTGCAAAGATCGGGCTATACGGATCATGTTTTAGTTTCAGTTGCGGAAAAAGAGTTGAAAAGGATTCATGCAAGGTCAAGCCAATCTAATGTTCATGTCGATTCACCGGCAAAATCAAGATGCATGGCCATAATTCCATATGTTCACCAGCTGTCACATAACATCAAGAAAGTGGCACTTCGGGACAATATTAGGGTGCTATTTTCAGTACGTGATAAACTTGGGATTTTGTGTGTGCTGACGAATCCATCACGTGGGGAAAGGGTGTTGTACACAAAAAGGCATACACACAAATTTGTGGAGTGCATTTTGTTCTTATTTATCTTAATTTGTTCACATGTGGCAAAGAATACGTCGGCCAAACCAATAGGTGTGTGAATGAGTGATTGAGAGAACACAATTACAAGGTGGATAAACTGCCACCAGAAGGTTTTCTCGCTCTTCCCATTCACGCGTGTGGGTGCCGGTCTTTGTTCCAGAGTACAATCATTGTTGGTCAGCATAAGGATGAGATGACTCGGTTGATCATAGAAGCCGAACGTATTGATGCTCTTGGAGATGTATGTATCAGCAAGCCTTCAATTGCTTTGTCACCCAAGGAACTGGGGTTCCTGCATACGCAGTGATATGTGATTTTATCTGTGTTGTTTTTTTGTCCTATTTATCGTTTTTTCTTTTAGGTAGATGACAATGTCGTGCATTTATCTGAATACACGTGCTTATCTGCTTGCTCGCCTGACGATTATGGCTTAAAAGCGGCTTGGAGGTCGAAAATAAACATGTTGCTAGTAGCGCTCTTTCCTCAGTCTATTCCTTCATGTGTCCATTTTTTCGCCTCGCGCTACATAAATTTCTTTCAGATGCATCACCAACAAGCCCACATCGCCACTCTTGTCATTTCCAAGTCAGTGGAATATCATAAAGTAACCAGAAACCATACAGCAGCCCGAAGCTGCACCAAAACTCCAGCCGCTTCCCCGGTGCTCTTACAGGCCTGCGATGCCTCGGTGGCGAGCGATACCGTGCAGAGGAGTCCACTATGCCCACCTGTGAAATTACGTCGTCTCCATGCGATTGGGACAGCCGGAACGAAACCTGCCAGCTGGCAATCTCAGAGGCCATGCTCCATGCATCCCAATTTTAATACCATTTGGTTGTGCACAGTCGAGACTTGGAGCGCACTGCTCAAACACAAGTAACAACTGTGACAATCGTTACTTTACACTGATTTTGTACATACCTGCACATTCTTTGCGTTTAAGCAGCCCGCTACAAGTGTCAAGCAGTGACATTTGTTCCTTTTCACTCATCCGGTGTGTTATTTTCAATCACTCTTTGCATTAAGCGGTGCGCTACATGTATCGAGTTGCTTGACGTTCTCTGTGTAATATTCTTCCTATCTCATCCACTACTTCGCCCTGACTTCTCAAGAAACTTTTTTTTTTCACGTCCAGTAGTGCCAAAAAAACCATGAGCGCTGGCACTGCATTACTGCTTCTGAAATGGAAAGTTTGGCAGGTTGACAAAGAAATTCAAGGATTTTCAAAGACGGGAAAAAATTCCAGGACTTTCGAGGATCTTGAATGCTCATTTTTCAAATTCAAGGGTTTTCGAGGATTTCAAAGACCTGTACGCACCCTGCAAATGGCTCGTACCTTTTAAGGCACAAAATATGGAATGAACAGCCTCTATTTTAAAGAAATCGAATTCACATAGGAAAATTTTCAAGAAGTGCAGTAAAGCAGTATGTGATTGAACACTTGTCTTCGTAGCAGTAGTGCACGCTATGCTATCTCTATAAAACGATTTGCTTGTCACATATTCTGAACTTTTCATCTCTTTTTTGAAGTTCAATTATATACATGCCTCATTTTTCTATCAGCATCGTTATGATGTCCATATATGAATGTATCATAGTCTTTACAGTATATATAAACTTTGTATGTCTTATTAGTGCAAAATAAATTGCATTTTCATTACTGACATCATTTACACTTCGGTGATGCACTGTGACATTTTATCTGTTCATACAAACAGTGTACTTTGTAATTTTGTAAGTGTCATGTATTAATTTCAATGCTAGTTCTCGACTTCCTTTTATTAACTACTTTACTACATATGTTAACCAGAAATGTCTAGTAAAGATGTAAAAGTAGAGATGTTCAAATGGCAATATATATTTATATATATATATATGGTCTAATATTTTCTCCTATACATTCCTTGGCATTATTGTCTGTTAGACCTCATTAATAATGTGTCAAAACACGGAAAAACGAGCCCTTAAGTATAGACTTTTTTTCCTTATATATATATATATATATATATATATATATATATATATATATATATATATATATATATATATATATCTATATATATATATATATATATATATTATGAGTTGGAAGGGGGGGGGGGGGGGGGGTGTCAAGTCAAGAATTGAGGCAAGGACCGATTGTAAAACTGCTGGATAGTAGCTTCTTGTTCTTGTCCTCATGTTCATTATCTTGCTGTACTTAATGCCAAATAGAATTGATTGATCAGTCATATATGGCTTTTCCTTGATCATTTTTATTAGTTAGCTCGGTGCGCACCCTCGTGAAATTCCTATCAACAAGCTGTACGTTAAAAATGAGCTTTGCATTTTGTCTGCTACAAGTGAACTTACCAGATTGTACACAAGCTGCTCAACGAACACAAAAGCACACTATCTTAAAAATTTCTATTCTAGACTCAGAATAGCTAACATTCATTTCAGAACTCTCGTATGGAGCATCTCAGGGTCGAAAATGCTGGAAGCCGAACAAATGCCCACAAATTTCCTGTGGACACGCAAGTGTACTTGAACATCTAATAAACACTCAGCAGCTACAAGTATGGCTGTCTTTGGAGCAATTTCAATTTAAAGAAGTATTCACAGGGCCCAATATGGAATCAGACAATCACATCTGCCTTTCTTTTATTGTCCCATTTGTTGTCACTGCTTTCTATTCGAGATGGTAGACCACATAACCTATATCACGGCCTTCTATGTAGAACTTACAAATGTACCTTTTGAAGCAAAGCCATGGCTGTGACAGCTTCTCTTGAGTTCCGTGCCACCAGCACTGCTTCATGTAGCAAATGGAGGGCTGCCACTTGTGGGTTTGAGGGCACAACAGTACCTAAGAGTCCATGAACCTGCTGCTCCAACTCAGAAATGATCTTATCATACAAATTTGTCATGTCATCAACAGAACTCGCAAAGCCAGTTTGTCGCACCTGTGAAAAATGTTTAGAGGAAACAGAAGTAAGAAAACATTGAGTGTAAACATCACGTGAATGTGAAAAAAGTATCAACTAATGCAACTAACCACCGGCTTTGGAATAAACAAGGAAGGCTGATCTCTTTCAGAAATAGGTTGGAAACCAGGGATGTTCCGGGCGAATTCCTCATATACTGCCATTTGCTGAGGAGTCACACCACCAACCTGCACACACAGCACACAAAATGTTCAATTGCGCAAACAAGACGAAGGAAGACATGACGACACACAGAGCTCAAACTACCAACAGAAGTTTATTTCCTTGAGCACAAAGTTTTTATAGAACCGCACAAAGTGCCACCAGGCAAATACTTGCCCAATTGTCAGCCACACACAACATTTTTTAGTTAAACAGCTTCAACATTAGAACAAAGTGAATAGAGTTAAGAACGTCAATGAGTGAGCATTACAATGCACTTCTTTATAACGGCCACAATATAAAAAAAAAACAAGGGCGACAAATTTTGTTCTGCCTTAAGAAATGCATGTGCTTGCCAATATACATGATTCGTCATCAGCAAGCAGAAGTCGCGCCAACGGCGCTTTGTATACGGTCGCCAGAGACCACCCGTTCTGTCGATGCATGTACGTATCCACAGCGTATACATAGAAAATACCCGAGCAGCTATTGGTTGGCGGCGATCGCTTCGGAAGGAATAAGTGATCGGCGCGCCGTCGTCGCATCTGAATATGAATGCGACACGACGAATGACAGAGACGACAGGGTTGAAGCCGGTGGCCCGTGCATGCCTATGCCGCTTCCGGTTTCGGGGTGGTGAGTGTGGCGCTACAATCTCGGTGTTCACAAGGCGAGCATTCGCATCAACTCTCGCAACCACGTGCAAGTGCATGGGCGTAGTGTGTCGCGGTGGTGCTGGAGCAATGAAAACATCTAGCTTTTTGCAACGTTATTTTTCAATCGCCACTGGTCGCTCGTCGTGCACAGTGCGCGTTTCCGAGGCATCCATCAGTGTTTTTGGACGCCGCTGGTTCGTAGGGCTGTTGCGGCTTCAGGAAGGAAGAACACGAAAAGCGATACAGAATGCGGAACTGAGGATGTTCTTCCTGCAGATAATAGATAGTGCAAGTTCCACGGAGCTGCCTTTAGGGCCAGAAACGAAAGGGGTCCGAATGTTGGCACAATGCGAAGTCTGGCAGATGCAAGAGCAGAATTTTGTTCGTGTCTGTTTTGAAAGCCATACATACAGTGTTGTGGTACGGTTTCACGCAGGGCTGGTTACGGGAGAAGCGCGATGATGAGGCACACAGATAAAACATCTCGCTGTCATCAAGTCGTCTGGCACGTTATCACGCTTCGCAACATGTCCTTGATGGTAAGCGCAGTGACCGCAAATGAACAACATTGTGAATCCGTAAAGAAGCTATGCGTCACTTCCACTGCCTATTAGACGTTAACGAAAAAATACTGCTTTGCGATTGGTTATCAAAATGACGCTCGCTTTAGACCTGCAGTAGTCCTTCTTATGTGCCCACTTATCCTGCTAATAAAGCGCTTGTAAACCCGAATTCACGGTAGCCCAGCTATGAATCCACAGTAAAAGCCTATATTATTACACCACGCAGATTGTGTGTGTGTGTGTGTGTGTGTGTGTGTGTGTGTGTGTGTGTGTGTGTGTGTGTGTGTGTGTGTGTGTGTGTGTGTGTAGTTATGCGATGTTTCTTGGATTTACTTGCATTAAAGCTCCACCATATCTCTACGGGAAAACTTTGTGCCCTGCAGGCAAAGGCACGGGGCAGTTTTGCGTCCTTGCCGGGGGCATCGGGCAGACAGCAACCGCATACCGCAGCATGTCACAACTAATTTTTCATCGTATGTGTGGTGTCATCCATGTTGTGCCTGATGACCGAAAAAGATGCCGCATACATGTTCCATACCTGGGTGTCAATCCAGTTAGAAAGTAAGGGATCAAAAGTGTATGTTCTGGCTGCCTAGACAGTGAACAATGGAGTCAGCAACAAGAAACTGGTGGTTTCACATTTGATTCCCCGCAGGTGACTGTGGACTAAAAGCACTTCAACTAGAGCGAACCTTTCGCGTGAACCAGTGGCTAATCGGAGGAGTTGTGAAGACGCCGCAAAATGTCCCGAAACTGTTGCCAGATGCTGTGCGGAGAATTTTCCACGGCCTCCCGGCATATTTGTCCAGGGCAAAAATGTCCAGAGCTCGACCCCCTATCAAGTGTTGCCAGCAAGCGTAAGGTGAGCTAAAACTGTCAAGGCTGCACCGACACTGTACATGAGCCCTTTTGACACAGCTTCCGTGACGGCAGCCGAGTCAGTTAATGAAGATGACCATGCTGGTTGTCTCTTTCTTCTTGCATGCCAGTAATAAAACTCAGTGAGTGAAATGCTTGCCATTTTGTTTTATACACGCACATACATGGCCAAAAAAGTAGGGGTGACATGCCGAATAGACTAAGCTACATGCAACTCTTCTCAGCTTGAAAAATTCAAAGCACACATCTGTCGCTTGGAACACACACTTCAGTGCTACCAATTGAAGCCTGTTCGGCTGATGACTCAAACAGGATGCACGCACGCACGCATGCATGCACATGCACGCGTGCGCGCACACACACACACACACACACACACACACACACACACACACACACACACACACACACAGAATTGCACAAAACTTGCACGAGCTGTAAAAACCTGGAAGGTTCATTTCCTACATCAATGCATCATGAGTGAGAGAAGATAAGTTTTTGCACCACATCTTGACGCCACTGGTCTGAGACACAGTCAATTTTCACGTTTGATGAGGCATCTAAGGCTTGCACCTTAACGGTAAAAACAATAAAGGTGCCTTAACAGTAAAAACAATAAAAAAGGACAGGTAAAAAAAGAGCATGATTAAGCTACATAGCAGAGTAAAGGACTGAGAAACTACACTGTATGAACAACTGAACTTTAACACGATACGGCACAATAGTCATAAATCAACACAAATCGATGATTGATGTGTAGGGTTTAATGTCCCAAAACCACCACATGAGTATGAGAGACGCCGTAGTAGAGGGCTCCGGAAATTTCGATCACCTGGAGTTCTTTAACATGCACCCAGATCTGAGCACACGGGCGTACAACATTTCCGCCTCCATCGGAAATGCAGCCACCGCAGCCGGGATTCGATCCCGCGACCTGCGGGTCAGCAGCCGAGTACCTTAGCCACTAGACCATCGCGGCGGGGCGGTATAGTTGTGCGAGCTTTGATTGATATACGAGGTTTAAGGGGAGATGCTACTGGAAGTCACTTTTTAATATTCACCCTAGACCAATGACACTTGAGCTGTTTATGGAGCTTTTTATGCTTATTTCAAATATATAATTAGTTTTCTTGCAAGGTGCATACTTCTAGCTGTGCGACATGACACAGTGAAAACCTTAACCCTTTAGCCTCTCCCCCCGTTTTCATCCATAAACATCCGTAATTTTTTACCATTCATAGTTCATAATGTTTTAAATAATGTGTAGTATACAAATAACTAATTAGGAAGCACATACAAAATATGTAATAGGCATGAAAAATAATATATGTAAAAAAGCCCACATTTCACCTACCCTTGTAAAGGTTTACATACAATTTTTCATTACATAATAAGATATTTAAATTTAAGCTAGATAATTGTATTTCTCATACATTGGAAAAAAAAATTAGGCAGAATTTCACGCAGATCCGAGCACTAGAAGTGCCCCAAAAAGGAGGGGCACATTGAAAAAAAATGGCAAAATTAGTGTGTTGAGAAAAACCAGTTTTAAAGTTGAGTTTTTATTTATGAAAGATCTCTTTAAATGCGATGAAACTTGTGCACTAAAAAAGGACAATCCTTCTTGTAGTGGCTTTCTCACTAAAATACGCCAGCACCATGAGTTTGTCCCTCTTGGCTTTTTCGAGCCGATTCCTCACAGACATTTCGCTCACAGACAGGGCCATGAAACGCTTGCCAAACTTCTTCCGCTCCATCTGGCAGAGCCTTGTGCCAACTGCAAGCTATGAAGAAGTTCAACAAGACTGCGAAATCTAAACTAAGTCTAGTGTCGTGGGATACAATAGTGCCGATGCCATTTTGCGGCCACGTTTGTGCCACATACCGTCTTATATAATGGCAACGCCATCCCCGCTAAGTTCCCTCACTGTGAGCTCCTTTGACCTCGCAAGATTGGCGCTGACCGCATCGCAAGCCAACAACTGCCGCAAATCAGACCAGCTGCTCGTAGCTTATTCCTACAGAGCGCGCCGCCACAACGGCTTTCACTCGCGAGCAATGGCTTTTTTCATTCATAACGGTGATAAATACACAAGAAAAGCATTGTTGAGCTGCACTGCTCGACAAGACATGAACCCCGCAAGTAGGCTTCAGAGCACATACAGGCGAGCAGCGGTCAATGGCGGTCCTTGATCTGTACCACGCGACAAGGCAGTCACGGCGCTCGAAAAATGCAGGAAAGCGTGCTTATTTTCATTATTTCTTGCGCTGCATCAGCAAGGGAAACTGTTACAATTGATAAGTGAGGCTCGACTCTTCGCTTCATGCGATCGACAATGGCGAGCAGAGGCGCACTATTGGCAGCAAAGTGCTCGAAGACTGCATACTTTGAGCCTTTTAACAGGCACCTTGTGCACTTTAGACGCAATTTTAAAGCATTTCCAGTTGTCTCGAGATGTTTTTTTTTTTTTTTCAGAACAGTAGAAGTACTAATCTTATCAAAAAAGACAAAAATAAAAAATTGGCAATTTTGAAAAAAAAAAAAAAAGTTTTTCGACCCGCATCTCCCCTTAATGTCGCAAAACCACAATATGATTATGAGAGACGCCATAGTGCAGGGCTCGGGAAATTTCGACCACCTGGGGTTCCAACGTGCACCAAAATTTGAGCACATGGGCCTACAGTATTTTTGCCTCCATCAAAAAGGCAGCCACCGCAGCCAGGATTCGATCCCGCAACCTGCGGGTCAGCAGCCGAGTACCTGAGCCATACCACGGCGGGGCAATAGCTGCGTGAGCAGTGAGGTAGAGACCATGATCATGATGAGAGAGGATGATGCCGCAACAATTTCAAGCAAAATAACTCGCGAGACTCTGAGGCTGAAAATCGCCATGGCACGAAATCACAACAAACGAGCATGCCGCTGTC